ACAAATCAACTGCTAGGGCCAGGATTATCGTTAGTGGAGCGATCTGCGTCCAACTTTAATCATTCGGTAAGACAAGCTAGAAAGATATCATGTATCTTCAGGCACTCAATGATATCATGTATTCTTAGAAAGTCTTAAAAGAGTAAGATATTGGCTTCCCTGTACAAGAGAGCCACCTTGATCATGAATATTCTTATATATATATATATATATACATACATACATACATACATACATACATATTGTCTTTCACCTTATCCATCTATCAGAAAGAAATGAAAATAAATTATCAAAAAATTTTACTATAAGATCATTCAAAACCTGTCTTGAATGAGGACAGTTTGATAGTACATAAAAAAAAATATCTTTGAGGTCTCATGTATAGCTAGGATAGGTATCATCAACTGTCTCCGCACTTCAAAGAAGAATAATTGAGCCAAGATCAAAGATAAATTGACGCATATTTGATCCTGAAATTTCATCATTGAAATGTTTCCAACTCAAAATATTATCTTCCAATTCTCCCATCTTACTTTTAATCATGGATATGCCAAAGCGCATTGAAAGTGGAAAGCAAGATTCGAGCTTCATCCAATTTTAAGAGTCATCCATATTGATATAAGTGGAAATATTTCTACCACACAGCTGTAAAGAGATATCTTTAAACGCAATATAGAGCAAAAATCTATCACCAACCCAGACATCCATCCAGAATTTAATTTTTCTTCCACTACCCACCAACCACTTAAACACTCACCATTTTCAGGATCAGAATTATACTTGATCCGGCTTCTCCAAGCATATGGTTAGGGGATTGGACAACTCAAGGACGTCATCATGAGGTCAGTATTTAGTTTCTAATATTTGCGCCTAAAGATTAGTAGGTCTCATGACCAGCCTGCAACCGAGTTCAGAAATATAGGCACCATCGTTCTCCTTCATTTTGCAAATTGTAAACCCATCCCTCTCCTTAACTTGCAAACTCTATCCCATTTAACCAATCAATCTTTTGGTTATGAGCTCTAGAATCAAAAAAGAAATCCCTGTTGAGTATGTCCAAGTGGTTAAAGATGAGGTAGACAACATGATTGTCAGTATATCATACGATTTCTTATGGTAGATATAACTGCGTTAACCAGAGTGGTTCAACCTGCCATAGATAAATGAGGTATTTGCCATCAAGCATATTTGTGTGGACTTAATAATTAACTGCTTGACAAGTATTATGCATGATCCTAAAGTGCATCAGTGGGATACCTACATACCGTCCAGGATTAGCTGTAGGTGGGACACTGCTAAGTTTGCTTTGATACCTCGCCACAATCACGTCAACATTATTAGAAATGTAAATCTTCTATTTAGCCAAGGTGAGCTTATACTCAAAGTTTGCACAAAAGACATTCAAACAATTTTTCAAGACTTCCATATGCTCCATCAAAGCCTCTGCAAAATAAATGAGATCATCAGCAAAAAAACAAAAAAACAAAAAAAGGGAAAGTAGAGAATCATCTCCTACAAAATTTTAGGGGTTTCTAGTAGAAGCTTCCTCTCACCACAGAAGCTTCTCCTAGTCATTTCTCGGACCTCCATATCCCTTCGGCTTATTAATAACAGTAGCGGTTCTCTCAAAATCATATTTGTGAGGTTGTGATTTGAAATAAAAACAATATTCATCAACCTACATCTCCACAACTTAAGCTCACTCATTAAACCAACCGTATACCTGCATGCACCGGATGCTCTAGTTATTTCTAACCCATTTTTAGATCATAAATCTTCCTTTTTATTTGGTACTTTAGTCTCTTACTTACTGAGGATAGCACATTGACACATCAACCTGGCCACATTATCATCTTTCACAACCTCTCCTCTTTGCCAACTTTGATATCCTATGTCCTTTCATCTCCCTTTTACAAGTTTACTTCCGGGAAATGAATTTTGGCATATTGATACAAGACATATTCTTAAGCATGCAGCAAGAAAGAAGAAACAGATTGTCTTGAAGATTCGAATAGCAACACCCAACAGACTGTCCTTCGGTTTTGTAATACTTTAATTTGGATATTACAAAGGAGATTTTGAAAGTTGTTTACCAATAGCTACAAAATTATTGTTTACGGCCCATAGTCTTTCTTAAACAACAACCTGAGCAATCTCTAAATAAACATTTTTAACTTAATCGCAACTTGTTCTAAAGTCAGCGTTGTCCCAAATTAAAATCAATGAAAGATAATCGGAGCAGTATGGTCAATCATCCCTTGTTTTTAATTATATTTCCGTCTCCCACTCAGTCATAAGCCAAAAAACAGCTTTCTATTTTCTAAAGAGTAACCTCGTGGAGAAGAGCAGGTAATATATTGGAAGGTAGTTAAGCCGGCCCCATAACATCAAACATGATCTCTAGTTTCTTGTCCCGCATTCCTCCACTCAATTCAAACTCACAATCATTCCGTCATTTAATTGACCAGAAGATAATTCTAGTGCCTGATTTGGTCCCACCAAACTTGAGCTCTAAGTCTCTAAATTAATAGGTCAAGATAAAATAGAATTAGAAAATTTGAAGAGAATTAATCATCCATATTATCATAATAATTTATCTTTGTAATAACAATAATAATATCACCAATTATAGACAACTTAAATGTTTGTAAATCTTTTCTAATTTATCACTTTTTGAAATTTTATTGTCATTATTATTTTTAATGTGTGTGTCTGTGTATATATATAACATTTAGCCAAAGAAATTCTATCACAAATTTATTGGATAATTTATTAATAGAAGATTGCACGACGCATGGAATTGAAAAGATATTAACAATTAGGCATGGAGTACCATCATTGACGTCTTATATAAAGCATTAATCCTGCAGTCTACTCGTTTAATCATCTGACACAATTTCTCCCAACTTGCACTAATTACGGATTCTTTTTTTTTTTTTTTTTCCACCTACAAACAGAAAGAAAAGACAAAATGAAAACAGAACTAACGTCCTCTGGTCCAGATACTATCACAAAGGTCAAGCAAAAGGGGACACGAAAGTCGTTTGGTGCATGATGGATCCTGATAAATCCACCGGAATATGGTGGCACATTGAACCTTACGTCCTTTATAACTTCTATATATAAAAAAAAAAAAAAAATTTAATGACGAAACAAACCAAATCAAAAACCTGATTGGCTTTTCTTCGTTCCACACTTCCATTTGAGACGTCAATTAGGAGCAATCAATGCATTTTGGATCCACATGAAAAGGTAGTCTTTGGTCCGTAATATATTCTATTTTTGTAGATGTCTACACCCATAAGGGCTTCCAGCGACAAAAGGCAGAGCAGGCAGAGTATTAATGTAATAAGCTAAGCTTGTGGGCTTTGTGCTAAAGAAATGGAGAACCCAGAACCTACTTTGAGCACGACTATGAAAAAAGTTCTACTAGTTCTAAACTGCATCATACTCACAGTCGGCAACTGTGGTGGCCCTCTTATCATGCGCCTGTACTTCATTCATGGTGGCAAACGAGTCTGGTTCTCAAGCTGGCTTGAAACAGGCGGTTGGCCCATCATCTTCCTCCCTCTCACAGTTGCCTACTTTTACCGGCGCCATACTCAAAAATCAAATCCATCTCAAAATAACAAGTTCTTCCTTATGGAATCTCGATTGTTCTTTGCCTTCGTAGTTATAGGAATTCTCACAGGCTTTGATGACTACTTGTACGCCTACGGTGTGGCCCGTCTTCCAGTTTCTACTTCTTCGCTGCTCATAGCTACCCAGTTGGCATTCACAGCCGGCTTTGCTTTCCTCTTCGTGAAGCAAAAGTTCACATCATTTTCGATAAATGCAGTGGTGTTGTTGACCGTTGGAGCGGTTGTCTTGGCCTTGCATACGAGCAGCGACAGGCCAGGGAATGAATCAAACAAGGAGTATATTATGGGATTCTTGATGACACTTGCTGCGTCGCTTTTATACGGGTTGATCTTGCCTTTGGTGGAGTTGTCTTACAAGAAGGCCAGGCAGCAAATTACTTACGCTCTAGTTATGGAGATCCAGATGGTCATGTGTTTGTTTGCTACCGGTGTTTGCACAGTAGGAATGCTGGTCAACAATGATTTCCAGGTATGATTATTGATTAATGCATGTTCGTCCACCTGTATCTCGGTTTTTCCGGCCAAAATACTATATTAAAAGGGTGTGGATATTTAGACGAAAAATTATTGTATTAATCTCCAAAATTTTTTGTTTACTTCGATAACATTTTTTTTTTTTTGGATTAAAATATAATATATTTTATTTATTCAAAATATATAATTTTCTTTCATTTTTTTTAACAGAAAAAAAATATAATGATTAATCTATATTTAAATGTTTTAAAAATAACTTAAAAAATAATTTTTTTTTTAAAAAAAAGTAAATGTATAAAGTAATTATTTGAAATATGAAAAGAAAGTAAGCATTTAAAATAAATGAAAAACATTAAAAATTAAATTGTAAAAAATATCAAACTTTAGAAACGGTTTTATTTTCAAACATCATGAACATTCAAAGACATGTAGACTAAGAAAGATCTCCAAGCCGGTTGGTATTAGGACTTCAAAGTATGTTTACTCTCTACTTTACTGGTATTATAATAAAGAATAATTAAAAAAATTATAAAATGCCGATAATAACAAATAGCTAGAGGAGGATGAAAAGAACATTTTATATAACATGGGTTTCTTGTACACTTAACAAAGTATCTCTTACATTTTAATGGAAGTATGGAATATTCCTAACATTCAACTTTATGGGAAGTGAACCTCAAAATTAATATTTTGTATAATAACGAAAAATCAAGCCCAAAGATATTTAAATTGACATAAAAATATTTATGAAATTTAAAAATATTAAAAAAAAAAAAAAAACGACATACCAAAAATCTATACATACTGCACTTGAAATGCTTTACTAAAAGAAAGCACCATAAATCATAAAGAAATTTATCTTAAGATTCGAAAATAAGCAAGAAATTAAGAAAACAAGCATGGAATACTCCATCTTCATCAATGTTCCGTCTACCCAAAATGTTATCTTCTATCATACTCTATTCTTTTCTTCTTCAGGCAATTTCAAGAGAAGCAAAAGCATTTGAGCTAGGTGAAACTAAGTACTATTTGGTGGTGGTGTTTAGCGCAATGGTGTGGCAATGCTTCTTCTTGGGGGCAATAGGAGTCATCTTCT